ACGACGACTACTACTACTTTTACTACTACTACTACTACTACTACTACTACTACCACTACTACCACTTCCACTACTACTACCACTACTACTACTACTACTACTACTACTACGACGACGACGATGACTACAACTACGACGACCACGACTATGCCTACTATTTTTTTTGCAATTGAACGCTGCGCCAGCGTGCTCTGCGCGTGGCGGGCGTATTGCCAAACCTGCACTCTTGTGAATCGGAGATAAGCTGACGCAGTATTCACGATGATGACAAAGAACTTGCATGGCAACAACCGAATACAACCGAGAGAGCGTAGAACATAGAGCCACGTCACTGGTGTGAGAAGTATGTATGTTAACCCCCCGCCACCCTCAGTGTGAGCCAACGCGTCCGATGTTCACGAACCAAAGCCTGCTGGGTCGTACTCAGCGTTGGAAACCGCAGCCGAGCCGGGTCCCAGAGTGCCAGCTGGTGGCGTCCCACATTTGGTCACTCAGGGGCAGTGGCGATGGGCCGTAAGGTGAGCGAAACATGCTCAGGTCGTCGAGGTGCCAAGGTGCTGTGATGAGGTACCTGGAGCATTAGGTATAGGCACTGGCTAAGAAAGAAAGTGTTACTGACCTGTTGCAGGGGTCTCACTGGCAAGCTGTCCGGAGCTGCTGAGAGTTTTTGGCAGGCCGGCGAAAGGTGAGCCTCCTCGAACTGGCCTCTACAAAAAAGCGCTAACGGGCAGCTCGCTTCAGGAGCCGTCAGCAACGGTCACGGCAGCTGAGAGAGGGCGAGGGTCGTCGCCAATTATGAGTCCAGCTAGACATCTTCTGGACATCTTTTTCAGGCTGGGCCTGTGATGCTGGAGACTGTGCCATGCTGATTCATCCCCTGTAGTTGTAGCCCCACTGATGGGACCATTGCTCGTCCTTTTCTTCCTCATGGTCCCAGTCCCAACCACGGTGGTACGAGTAGTCCTGGTTCCAATCCCAAGAGTCCCAGTCCCAATCCTCCTCCCCCCACTCCAGGTAGCTTGGCCAAGCATCGTTCTGACGAGCGTCTGTGGAAGAACGCGGCCTCTTTGTAGCGCTTGTTGGTTTGCTGGGAGGCCCAGTATTGCTTGGCCCGGTTGTGGCGATCGGTAATCATGTCGAATTTGGACGGGCCACGGCGTCATGGACGATCCTGACGCCCATGTATGGCCACTGGCGTCGAATCATCCTTGTGCAAAAGGCCTGCTGACGTCGCTGTGTGGTTGTAGATCGTGACCACCGTGGAGGATGCCTACTACTACCACAACAACAACAACAACCTACTACTGCTCCTGTTGTACTACAACTAGTAAACACCCAAAATGGTCACAACCATCATCACAATAAACACCATACTGTACCATACTACTACTTATGCCATCGTTGTAGCATCATTCACATCCATAAGCAGGACGGAGCAAATAATCACATTGACTGGTAAGGCTTCGGTGATCGATGGTGATCGTGCTAAAAAGAAAGAGAACGAGAGTTTAGCCACGAGCTTCATCAGCCCTGGAATGGCTTTTGTTCTGCAGTCACGTCTGCTGCCATTCCACTGGTATTGGTGCAGCTACAAGACAACACACTAAAAACACGCACACACACACACAAAAACCCGAAAGTTTTCACCCTTCTGCGCTTGCCCTGCTCCAAGCTCCGCTAGCGGAGAGCCAAGATCACATCGTAAGTATTTGCAGGCTGGGCTCCTCTTCCTTCTCCTCCGGGCTCGGAGCCTCCTTCGCGACTTCGGACTTCGAGCTCTGGTCGCCCAGGTCGCCCTGTGCAGTCTGCAGTCACTCTGTGTCTTGAGAAGCCATCTTGAATCCGAGAGATGTCTGCGGCTTGGCGATGTTACCACGAGTTGTTTGCAGCTGTTGCTCCACGTTGGCGGTTTAAAGTCAAGCATTTCCAACAGCCTTCCACACATGCTAGAACTGCGCACAACAAGGTCCTGGATAAGCAACACGCCGACTACAATCCGTTACAGTCTCGCAGGAAATGCAACCTTCGCTGCCTGGGGGTTGGCTGCTGTGCTGTGCTGCAGCGAAGCAGCCGAATCCTCATCTGTTGAGCTGTTCTGCGAAGCTCAGGCAAAGTTCCCCAAAGTTCCCTAAAGCCTAAACTGCCTAAACCCTAAATAACCGCAAATTTTGCTATTTTCTGCAGCCGTGGCCGTGTGAAATAGCTGCGGCGCCATCTTTGGAGCTGCCGCAGGCGGTGGCGGAGGAGCTTGAAAGCTGCACATTGAGATCTGAGCTAAGGAGGTTTAGGGCCCTCAGTCAGGGTTTTGGGAAATTCAGGGTATTGCAGGGAGTCATGAGATGTCATGAGCGACGACTCAAAGCCTCGTGACAATTCGAAAATCAAAGACTTTAAGGCTCGCGCATTCGGAGGCTGTGATGGCGCTGCGCAGGGAGGCCCACTGAAGACTGGTGACATCATCATGGGAGCTGCGGGCGGCGCCCCTTGCAGCAGTGATGGTGGTGGGGTTGGCGATGTGAAGAGAATCGGCGGCCCCTCTTGAAGGGGAGGCGCTGTGCCGAAAAACCTGGCAAGAACTTCACGTGGATTCAGGAAGAAGAGTCCTACGGCCGTCATAGCTCTGGTTCGTCGGAGCCCGAAGGCAGGATTGCGGTGAATGCGGTCAAGCAGCGTTCTCGTGCCTCGGTGGACAGAGGCTACAGTAAGGCCGTGCCTGTCATCGCACGGTGCTCTTTGCGGAAGAGCTGCCCAAGCCGGCATGAGGACTCTCGTAGTGCGAGCTGGTCCAGCTTCTGGCTGGTGTCACCTCCCCAACCTGGAAGAAGCCGCTTGAAACTTCAAAGAGGCACGTTGCAGCAACTTCTTCCGAGCGGCAGTGGTCACCGGGCTCTCGTAAGACTGCCTTCTCTGTGGAGACCCGCTTGAGCTGCCTGCGAGGCTTCGTGCTGCGCTCGTTGCGGCTATTCCGTCTCTGTGATCTGTTGTCTCCAAGGGGCCGAGAGACTGAGCGAGAGAGATCTTGCTTGCCCCTGAAGCCGTGAGCTATGAAGATTGACACGCGGCTTCGTGAGCATGAGAGCCATCTTCATCCAAGTAACCTTCTGACGTCCACGACTGGCTTTTTGCTGAGTTGAGCCCAGACAGGTCTCCTTTCGACCGGGGCGGGTCAGCGCGTCGACTGCTAGTTCCGAAGATGTACATGGCTCGGATTCGCCCGAGCCCCTGCCAAGTCTCTCAAAAAAACTTGGAGCTTCTTAGAACTTAGTTCTTGGCAGGGGAGCTCGCGGCTGAGATCCAGCTCCCTCAAAGGTGGAATTCCACCTTGGGCCAAAGCCTGCAGTGTTTGGACGGGGTCCTGCAGTGTTTTGGGTTTGCTCCCTTTTCCTGCCATGGCTTGGCTTCCCCAGGCTTCCCCGAAAACGACCTCTTCTCGCAGTCCTGCAAATCCGGTTGGCCCTGCGAATTTCCTGCCCACTCGGCTCACGGCTCAGATGCAAACACACCCTAGCACCAGTTCTGCCTCAGGATCGTCCTCTACCAGGATCCCTTGAGAAGACTTCAGGCCTGCAGTGGGAACTTGGTCCTCTGTGGCATTCTGTGGCCACTGTGCTCGTTCTGCGCGTCCCTGCCTTTCTGCTGCAGCAGCTTAACCATCAGCTGATCTTTGGAACGCCACTCTGCCTGTGGCGGGTCACTGCCCATGAGAAAGCAGCTCTGCCACGCACATTGAACCCACGTCTGCAACAGGCCTGCCACGCTTCTCCCAGAAACTGTGGGGCCAGCGCCGGCGGATCGGCGATCACCTGTAACGTCAACAACAGAAATGCGAGTATGGGCAAGTAAACTTACAGCACCAGATATGGCCATAAACATAGGCTGACCAGGTCTGAAAACGTCAGGTCAGGGCCTGAATACTATTCGGAATTCGGACAACATCATGGTTAAAATTCGCCCAGAAGACTCCACTGCAGGTGAGGGGGAGCCTGTACAACTAACGAAAACGACTGCGGGCTATGCCGGCGCAAGACAGAGAGCAGCCTACAGCGGTAAGCGGGACTGTCTGTGACGGTGACGAGCCAGTAATCGGGAAACGGAGCTGCATCGGAGCGACGGACAGGGCATCGGAGAAAACACAGGTAAGAGTCGAGAGTTGCAAAGCGGCCTGCTTGTCAAAGGGCGATGTGCCGTAGGTGACGCCGATGTGGCCATAGACCTGTTACCCAGCAGCATTGCAGCAGCATTGACTGCTCTCTTTGTCAAAGCCGTGAATCCCAGGCGACACGGCTGCCAGGCCTGTGTAAAGTATGACCGAAGCCCGAGGGCATGAAGGCAGAGCTGCACGGGGCCCACGAAGCCCTGTGCCATGACGCAAAAAGGGACGCCCACAGGGTGGCATCCGGGGCCTTCGTGCAAATCACCATCTCGGCATCTTCCTTCTGAAGACTTTGCAACATCCTCCGCACCTCGCAGCGACTCCGTGGCACTCTGGGGGTGCCTTCACAACGAGATTTCACAGCCCTTTCCTGTCTCTGGCCTCCTCGACGCGACTGTTTCCACCGAAAGCCGCGCAGGGGAAGCCACCCTGTTCGAATGCATGTTGAATTTACGGCTTGCGACCATGTGAGGTGAAGGAGCAGACGCGAGAACCCCCGACTCTCGCTGTGTATTGCAAGAATGCCATGCGTGTGCCTCGTAATACACTGACTAAAGTATGTGGATGCAGCATGCATGCCTCTGAACATCAAACGCAGTCTATCTTCCACTTGATCCCTCGCTGTTCCCGCTTCTTCGACAGCTGCTTAGCGTACCTGGGTTGCGAACTCCCCACTGCTGAGTTCATCAATCCGCGCCACCTGCACGCGCAACATGTATGGACACGCCAAAAGTGATCTCTCTCAGCTTGTATGGACAGTAAAGCATGGTGGAATTCCACGACATTGGTGTGCAGTGTGTAGTTGCTTCCGCAACCTGCCCGAGCTCACTCATCGCGTGTGGCTTCGGGATGCTGGCGCAAACTCCCTCCTGCTGTTGCAAGTCGAAGCAAGCCTGTGACATCACAGAGCTGCTACGAACGAATCCGAATTGCTAGTACAGCTGATGCCGCGCAATGACGAAGAATGAGCGCAACGCCCGGTCCTGTTTCCAGCCCGAGAGCGACTTGAAAACGTGAAACACCTCAGTAAATTTCTTTTCCAGCTGTTGCTGCTACGTGCATTTGCTTTGGAGAAGCATGAAAAGCTTTCCTTCATTGGACGTGACTAGACTTCCTTTGGCTTCGTCGCGACTTGCATCTGCCTGCTTGCCTGTTTAAATTCCTAGCTCCAACTGTTCCTAGTGGTATACGCCCATCCTTTCTCAGCTGTTTCATCAAGTGCAATGACCGGTTTTCGAGCATCAACTAACCCACAAGCAGTAACTGCGACCGCTGCTTGTTCTGCAGCTGACGCAAAGAGTCGTCGTCATGTCAGCTCTCGATGAACTGTTGAAGATCATCTTTTGCTTGGTCCGAAAGAACGCGGACTGATGAAGAAACGGACCTTGCCGGGAGGGTACCTTGGCCTTTGCCTCTCCGAACCTTTGGGAGCCGACTCGGGTACCAAAACTATTTCGGCTCGGGCGCTGTGAGGGTCTGGTCAAAGTCGAACATGAAAAACCTGTCGGAAGCCGGTACGCAAGGGCAGGGGCCGCGAAAGAGAGCTATTGCACGACAGACTCGCCTGACCGGCTCCGTTGCACCAGCCTGGCAAATCGAAGTGCCGGAATCCGCCACCCTCCCACCGAGGCGCAATGACACCTTCCACATGATTTAGCTGCGCAGCCAAACATGGATGCCAAGGCTGCTAGCTGGAAGGATTTCCCCGATCCCTGATGCAAACTGCGCTGTTCATTTTGGCTAGGTGAAATAAACCTTTCAAGCTGTGAATCCATTGAAGCATGCGAGTTTGCTGTAGCCCGCCGGCTCATCATTTGGCTCCGCCATATGTTTTGAGTCTTGAGAGCGGCGGCATCGATCTTCGTCCGCACTCTGCGAGTTCAAGAGAATGGGCACACATGTGCACACTTTTCATCTTGCCCGTGCCGTTTGTCCAAAGGCAAAGAGGTTCAGCCCTGGAACTGCAAGTCGCAGGCGGGTCAAAGCCTGCCATCAAGGCGAGGATCCCTATGTAGCCTACAGAGGTCTCGGCACAACCAAGGGCTCCTTCAAATGGACCCTTATTTCCCCGTGACTCAGTACCCACACTTCGCTACACATCCTTCTGTCAGAGGTCGGCGGGCCACTGCTGTCGGATGCTCACAGTCAATGCCGAAAAGCTGCATCATGGTTCAACGGTCTCGGGGATCTGAGTATCCAAACAACTTTTGGGTTGGGGAGCTTACGCTCGAGCTCGAGATCTTTATATTCGACTTGTGGCCATCGGAGCTGCCGATCGCATGCGATAAGTTCACGTACACATTTCGCCCCGGCATGCACGACTCTTCCTGCCTGCGGGGAGATGTGGTTGCAGCTGACCTCGCGAGACTTTTCACGGCATGTTCAACGCTTGCGTGATGCAAAGCATGCTTCAGGCAGCCCGAGCGGCTCTCAAGGTCCGCAGAGCTGGGCAGCTCGGCAAGGCTCGTGCCAAGGCGGCTGCGCCCGAATCGCCGAAGCAATTTTCGTTCAGCGAGAGGAGGCGCAGGTGTGAGGAATCTTTGAAGCGCCCCGCAAGTGCACGTATGCCCACGTCACCTATCGCGTTGTCGTCGAGCTGCAGCTCCTCAATGAAGGAAGTCAGCGTGCTTGCCAGAAGGCTTGCTGAGGCACTTCCCATCTGGTTCTCATTCAAGCAAAGGCTTTGTAGGTTGGGGCATTGTGGTAGAACTAGTGCCAAAGCCTGTAGTGCATCCCCAAGTCCGAGCTTGGCTGCTCGTAATGTTGATAACTTCTGACAGAGCGGTAGCTTTGAGGCTAACGCTGCAAATCCATTCTCCCCAAAGCTGTTTGCGCTGATGTAGAGCTGCCGCAGCTCCGGAAGCTTGCCAAGGGCACCCGCTAAGCAACCGGCCCCCACATCACTGATTATGTTGTGGGAAATGTCCAGGATCTGCAGCGTGCCGGGCAAGCAAGCCGCGATAGCTTCCATGCCTACGTCCGAGATGCTGTTCTCAGATAAAACGAGTTTCACAAGACGCTGGCTGTGAACCAGTACCTCAGCTAGCCGGAGTGCATGGAAGTCGTCCCAGCCGCGGCTTGAGAAGTCCATCCATTCTTGCGCACCGAGTACGGCTGTGAAGGCCTTGTTGTACAAGCTTTGCGCCAGTGACACCACGTGCTCATCATCAAGGCCTTGACTCTCAATCATCAGGTTGAAAGCACTGGGTGTCGTTGGAGGGCTCCCAGACGCACCGGATGCTTGCAGGAGAGTCGGTCGCGACGGGGCTAGGGGACAGCTGGACTGGGCCACCGCTTCGCTGGCCTCTACCACCAGGGACTCGGAGCTCAAATTCGCCAGCATTCGCTGTAAGCACGGCCAGATGTGCATAGAATCAGAACTAGGCATGAACCACTTGGTGGTGCAAGGCGAGGCATACCAGGCACTCATGTCCTGCAGGCTTCGCTGATACGTGGCTTCTTCATCCTCTGATCGGGGCTGCTGGTAGAGGCTGCACCAATCCAAAAAAATGGCAAACTCCGTGCCGTGCTCTTCTGAAGACAATCTTTGGCTGTGCTTCTCCACCATCTTGGCAAGAAGCTCAAGCATTTGGCAGTCAGATTCTGGCTGTTCTTCTTGCCAGAAATGAGACACGACAAGGAGTCTGGAAGATACGTTGCCCGTCAAGCTGCTGAAGTCGTTCCAGAAAGCCTTGCAGAATTGCAACAAAAGCACAAGGCTCCTTTTCGGACTGGACCCCCCCGCCTCTGGTGGCAGCGCCTGTCGCTGCGGAAGGGGCTGCGAGGGTTCGGCCAGAAGGCGGCGAAGCCAGGAGGCGCGCAGAAGTGCGATGTGACCCCGCTCGACGGACCTTGACAGACGCACTCGGAGCCTCACAGAATTTCACAGAGCTCTCTCTGCTTGGCCTTTGCAACATCGGCAGGGTCGCAAAGTCCTCCGCTTCCTCTCAGGCACACTCTCCGCTCGCGCTCTTTTCTGAGCCTCTCTCGGGTGACGCACCTGGCAAGTCAACACTTCATGTTAACTCTCCGTCTTATCCTTCGCTGAAGCCTTCTGCACTCCCGGCTGGAGGGCAAGCAGGCCGTTTGCCCGATGCCTTGTAGAGTGCAAGAAGTGGCTGCTTCACTACACAGAAAGGCTTCTCTCTCGTCTTGCATCGCTGAGGTGCGTCTGGAGGATGTCCTGTCATTTTCGATGCACAAACTCGATTGCATCAGCATAGCATGGCACATCTCTGCACCACCGACAGAGTTCCTGTGTAGTTGGGCAAACAGTCTGCGAGCCTCCTTCTCCACTCCGGCATTCTGGCCGCCAAGCTCCGCTTCTATGCAAGGCGCGATCTCCGGCACCTTTCGCGGGGCTTTCCTTATGGCGGACGATTCCTTGGATAGTTGTCACCCATCCGGACAAGAGTGATGCAGCAACACATCTCTCGTCCATGAAACGCCATCACGAGGTGTGGTGCAGCCTACATTTCCCAAGGTGCCCCCACACATGCGAAAGCAGATGAACAAATGGATGGATGGGTGGATGGATCGATGGGGGGGCAGGATCGATTCGCTTTCTGTTCTGCGAGCGATGTTTGCATTACACTCGCGCGCTCTTCGGTGCGCTACTGCACTTCCTTTCCCGTCTGCTAGGCGGTGCGAGTAGGAGTGTACTGGGGCAGACTTTTGTCTGAATCGATCCGTGTCCTCCTGCCTTCACAGGCCTGCAGCAAGGAAGCGATATGCTTCTGGTCTCACCGGCCCAGTGGACAGAGGGAATTTGGGCCATAGAGCCTGACAATGGCCCTATAATGTGAGACTGTGCACACCCATTCAGCGCGCGAGTGTCTGCACAAACTAAGAGACGGAATTGATACAGAGGCTTTGGAGTCAATGCTGGGCCGGGAGCCTGGTTGCAGGTGGCCGTGCAAGCCGCCGTAACGCCGCGCTTTAAGATCTGCTGGAAGCTTGGACGCGGCTTTGAGGGGTGTGGTGTGCAAGGCAAAACTCGTTCTCCCGAGAAAAGGACCCCCACGGACACACGTGGCTTCGTTCGGCTTCGTTCGGCCGGGACCAGTCGAACACCATGGTGCTTCCGCTGCTGATGCTGCGGCCCGACGTGGTCAGACAGGCCCGAAACGACAAAACCAACGAGCGATTTGTGCCTGCTGGAAACAGGCATCAAGGCATTCTGGATATCAGCCCAGCGCACCTCGATGATGTTCCGACAGTCCGCAGCTTCGGCCACCAACAGTTCGGCCTTCAAGAACGCCTAGCGTGGGTTTGCAAAACATGTGAGCCCGACGTAACCAGGAGTTGCAGGTTGCAGTCCGGGGCCACGGCTTCTTCCAATTGATTGAGCTCCTGCTCAGAGCTGCATCAAGTCGAGACCCCTCAACTGAACAGAGAATGCATGGAGCTGTGCAGGTCGGAAACGACAAGCACAAGTAGTGCAAGTTTGTCAAGGGGATCTGCATGCTGCCCGCTCTAACACATGCTTGTCCATTACATCAACTCCTTCTCGGATTCGGATTCCAGGACATTCTCCTGGACTGCACGGGCCTCTCGAGAGCAAGCGCTTCCTCTGCGACATGAGATGAGCTGTGAATCCAGCGCCTTGCGGCGTAGGTACCGCATGCTGCCTGACACCTGATTCCACTGCTTCCTGAGTGGTGCTTCATTACTCAATCACTTGTCCGCACTCTCCCTGATTTAGTTGCCACTCCGACATGCCATTGAAATTAATAACGTCTGCCGCCGTGGGACATCACAGAGAAATCAATTTGATACAATCGCCTGGGTAAGGAATAAGCTAGAGTGCAGGCATCTGGACCGAAGATGTTTTATGAGTTTCGAGGTGCTTGTGCGGCCCCATGGCCAAGTAGTGCAGCCCCATCGCATCCTGCGTGTCATGGGCAGCAGAAGTTGATGCGGGTGCAGCCGTCGCATTCGTCAGTCAGACCGGTACTGCATCCACTTGGGCACGCATGCCCGGAGCTCAAGGTGTGAGGCAAGCTGGGCCTCACTTACCTCCTCTTGACAGTGATGGCCGCAACGGATACCCACACGCACAGGCCTTACTGCTGTCTGAGGCCTCTGCGAGAGACGTAGATTTTGCGAGAGTCGAGCTTTTGGGTTGAGACCGGAAAGGCTGTAGAAATTTGAGCCATTCTGTTAGGTCCATGTCCCAAGCTTCGTCCGAACTTTCTCGGATACGTGTGGTGCTCGAGGCGGAAACACTGGCCTTAACTTATACCCTCTGAAATGGTCAAAACCGCTTGCCAGAAGTCCTGAGAGTATGCAGCTTCGAGAACCTGCGCATCCTTGCTGTTGACGCGATGCCAGGTGGCATCTTGCCATTCCCACATTGCGCTGATGGTCTGACTGTACTTTCGGGTGGGCAACATTGGGGTGCAGGTGCTGTGATCCCTGTCGTTTGGCTGCGTTTGGCCCGAATATCTTGCCACGATCTGGAGAGCATTCATGGACGGGTCCCGCAGTGTTCACAGAGCCAGTGCTGACGAAAGCGGCTCACCATGACCAGTGCAATGCAGGCTCAGCGTGGCGAGCTTCCCCCTTCAGGCCGCGAGCCTGCCATGCGACGGTGTCGTCAGCCTGCACAGAGCAGATTCAGAAGCCACCCCGAGGAACGAGGAGCTTAGGTATGAAATCATTCTTTGACCATCTACGGTCTAGCCAGCAGGGGCATCGTGCTCCTTTTAATGTTCCGGCTCCGTGCAGCCGCGTGATGGGTCCGGAGCTGGAAATAAATGCTCGCAACAATACGACAAGATCTGCGGAAACTCGCACGACTCCTGCGACTGAGCCACCCAGGTGCGTGTTGTGGCGACCTAGGACTCGATCCGTCGATGGGTTGCGATGCTGATGCCCTGCAAGTCATGTGCATCCGGGCAAGCAGTGGTTCTGCAAAGACTCTGAATGCACGAAAGATGGCACAGCTTGCCCGGACAAGGACATGCCTGTGCAGCTTGCATCACGACTAGCTGACTAGCACCTAATTGCCGACCAAGTCATGGTCTTCATGGCTCTTGCACCCTGACTTTGATGGTAACGACGATTTTTTAAGCTTGTGTTTGTAGGTTCCCGCGGTCGCGCTTGCTTCGCCCTATACGGGCCAAGATAACTAAGGTATTCATGGATGCAAGGACATCGGCGTGGCAGAGACGTTTTGCTCGAATTCACTGAGCTCAGGCCCTTGAATGCTTCGTGTCTGGCAAAGTGTCTGTGCCTTCTCTCGGCCTCGGCTCTGCATTGCCAACTTCAGGGTTCTCAAGCTGGCACTTTCCACACCCCCCAATCTGCAGTGATGGGCCGATGATCTCACCTAGAGGTGCAGATGTTTGGGAGGTGGACCGTTTAACAGTAAAGCGTTCCCGCTTGGAGATCACTACCTCTGAGGCGAGGATTCTAGGATTCCAGCAAGAGCTCGTGCTTTGAAGAGCTTCTTCCTACTGAGTATCTTAATTTGCGTAGAGTTGCACTGAGCTCTTGTTTCGCTCATGACCGAGCAGTGAGACGCTGGTGGAACCCCAATGCTCCCTGGCTGCAAGCACGAGACGTTGGAATTCTACAGCCTTCCAGGTATTCGCGCGAAGGATCTCACTCCAAAGCTCGCGGCAGTGCCGAGGGTTACATGACCTATGCAGTTTTTTGAACGGCACACTGCAACAGCTGATCTGCCGGGGCCAAGACGGCACAGCCTCGAGCCCTCTCCTCCTCCTCCGCCATGCCAGGTTCTAAACAGATCGGGGAAGTGTGCTGAGCAGCTGCCTCGTCTGAGACGAAGGACACAGTGGAGAAGTCCCGTCCCTTGGTGTCTGCTCTCCGACTGTTCTCCCACGGACCCGACACGGGACTGCCACTGCCTGGCTGCTGCCTTCTGTGGGCCCCTGCATCACGTGACCGACACCAGTTGCTGTCATCATCTTCCTCAGGCTGCGCGATTCCGGCGCATGCCGTCGCAGCTCAGCACTGTGCAACCCGCCGTGCAAACGCATGGTCATATGACTGACTGGTCTTGGCCGGCCTCGTCCTCTTCATCTTCGTCTATGCACATCATCCCCAGGCTCAGCACCTGAAAGGCTCCCTTACTCGCTCGCCATCCCTGCTTCCTTGAATTGCTGGGCTGCCAGCCCCACCGCAGGTCACTAGCTCCTGGCCAAAGGTGTGCAGTTTGAAGGCAGCGTAGGGTACAGCTTCTGTCCTTCATTCTTCTCCGCCGCTGAACGCCCTCCCAGTACATGCAGTCCATCTGACAGGTTCGCAGTAGTGCATGTATGAGGCTGAAGTTGAGAGACTGAGAGCCTCTGTCCATTCGACCACTTCGCCAACCACACAGCACGTGTCGTCGCGCTTCCCGCCCTTGCCTTTTTTGGTGCAAACCGAGCTTTCCATCAACGAGGGTCGAAAACACACTTCCGGAACTCAGATCTTCGCCGATCGGCGTGTCCGGATACTTCCCGGTCCGCAGGTCGGCCTGGTCACACGGGTCGGCCGATTCGACGGACCGGCGACTCCAAGCCGCCTTGGTCTTCATGTGGCAGGCTTCCACAATGTACCTGGCCACCTGACCGTTAGCCCTTGGCCAACGAGCCCTATAACTGCCGATGACGCGCCTCTCCCATGAAAGCCTTATCCAAGGGCCGGAACCTCAAACAACGGAGGAAGGTTTGAAGGACACTGGCCCGACAATTTCAAGAGCTGGACGACGAGGGCAAGGACAAACGTTTGATCCCTGAGTCAGGGGCTTCTCGCCGGGAGTGGAAGGTCTTGGAATCAGTTGGTTGACGATCGCGGCCACCTTCGAAGCAACACGACTGCCTTTCCTATCCCAAATAACTCGCTCCACACAAGAAAAAAGCCATGCCCAGCCCGGCCTCGTCCTTGAAGAGATTGTCAAAGACCCCGTCGCTGCCAATGACCACCAAGTCACCCTGCACAACGGCACGGCAAGGGGTCAAGGCCAGAACATCCCTCGCTGCTTGGCTCGGTGCCTCGTAGACGGAGACCTGGGATGCGCGCGACACACCCTTCATGACGACGCGAAAGGTCTGACACTTCTGGGGATTTCTCAGGCCGCAGCCATGTGAACGGCACTTCCTCTCTCGATTACCTGGCAACTAACAACACAGCTGTGTTGCGCTTCGGCGCAGATGGGGTGGACGCCAGCCTCAATGGTCATCCGCTCGTCGAAAGCGGCATCAATTCTGCCATCAACACGGCAGACCTGCAGCACGCCACGGCAGTGTGCAGTCGCTGCAGCAACGTCTAAGTTCGCCTGGAGGGGACACTGGCAGTTGCCGCCGATCCGCTGCATTTCCGTATTGAACACCGTTTCGTACCTGCATTGGCTCCCGCTCGCCCTCTGCAAGAGAAAGGTCCGTCTGAGGTTTCAGCCGTAGTCGGCCACTCGCCATGTTCTGCCGGAGAACCATCAGCTCACAGTCGCCTGCAGCAAGCCGGCTGGGATTCCGAAAAACTGGCGAGAATGCTTCCAGAACTCTCTGACCTATGGAGATGATGGCCATCATGGGGTGGAGCTTGCCGTGGATTCTGGTGCTATTGTCCAGCACGGAGAGGCCTTCAGTGCCAGTACGCAACATGTGTCCCAAGTGGTCTAGGCAGACTTCGAATACAAAACACTCGTATGTGGCTAGCGGCAATGTACGCCCCATGCTGCAGACAACATGCATGACAGTGCCGTTTTCTCCGTCTTGCAGCCACTCCAGCTTCTTCATTTCGTCGGCACATCAGAGCATCTGTGCAAGTCTTCGAGAATGGCCAGTAGCAACGATCCGAAACGAATGCTACGCTTACGTCATCACAAGCTCCTTGACGGCTCCGAGGCCTTCTCGCCTTCTGAAGGTGAGCCCGTGCGACTTCGCCCTTCCCACTCGTGCTGGATCTGACGCCGAGGCCCGGGGAAATCCAGCGACAATCGGATCCGTCATGCCCTGGTGCTGTCCCCTCCTCGACTCCCTCGACCGCAGATGCCAAAGTCTGGTTATCACCGCTGCCCCGAGCTGACGCCATGCGATAGCTACAGCCGCGCTCGCTTCACGCTGTCCTTCGGCAGCAGACCTTGCATGGCTGCCTGCTGGGGTTCAAGTCCGAAGATGCCACCAGTGTGCCAAAAGAGAATGCGTGAGTTTCTGAACTTGTCCGGGTGTGCTCTGGCATGTTCCTGGGCTGGAGAATTTCACCGGGCACGATGGGTAGCTCATGCAGGCAGGACTAGTATGTTCTTGAGTTTCTGACATGAGACAAAACCACAAGCAAAATGTGGGCTGTGGGCGTTGGCACCAGCAACTACTCATGGCTGGCTGATGCTGCCGTGCATCACAGAAGTGGTAGAGAGCCTTGCCGGAGTAAACATGATCCAAAACCACGCCGGAGGCGGCTGCCACCTCCGCAATGAAGGCTAAGTTCTCGGCTGCTGGCACAGCATATCCAAGGCCGGCTCCATTGTGGATGTTGAGAGCGCCCAGAACTCCATCAACCTCCTCGGATGTACAGCCAAGAGCATCTGCCTCCTTGGCTACGAGGTCGTAGTAGGCTTTTGGGCTGTGCTGTATGTTCACCCCGTGTAGTGTGAGGTCTAGTTTCGCCTTGTGGAAGCCCACCGCCAAGCCGGCCAAAGTGCCCCCAGAGCCCGCAGCCACCACCACATGATCGAAGCCTCCCAACATTTCTATCTGCTCTCGCAGCTCCTCCACGGCTTGTAGATACCCCCAGGTGCCTAGAGGCGTGGTCCCTCCCACGGGGATCACGTAAGGCCGAAAGCCCTGTGCCCTAAGACGCTCCGCCATCCTTTCGTTTAGAGTGTCGGCGGCTTCCAAGTTCCCTCCGAGCTTGTAGTACTCGGACGCAGTGCACAGGTGAATCTTTGCCCCCATGAGCCGGCCGATCAGCAGATTGCCCTCCATACCTGAAGCCAAAGGGGAGCAGCAACGTCTTTTAGACGAATATGCTCCCTGAGTGCAACCTCGCCTGGATCTTCATCCGCCACAGTGTCCTTGACCAGGAGGACCAGGTGGGGCTCCAAGCCCGCCATTCGGGCTGCCACCGCGGTGGCACGGCAGTGGTTTGACTGAAGCCCACCAACCGTCACCACCGAGTCGTGGTTCCCTGCCAAAGCTTCCGCCATGAGAAACTCCAGCTTGCGCGTCTCACGGATGGGAGTCTGTGAGAGAAAATAGGTCATGTGTAAGTAAGCTGAAGTACCACGAAGATCCTGCCTTGTTCCCGGTCAGCTCGAGCCCAGTCATGTCATCGCGCTTGATGGACCACTTCCTGGGTTTTCAGCAACATGTACGTGTACAGAGCAGACGGATCTCGGCGGCAAAGGGATGCAGCGAAGATGTCGTAATCTGCACATGTGCTGTCGTGCTCAACAAGCCTTCTTCTCAGATTGCAGGTTGGGCTTCACATTCAAGTCGCGCAGAGCGGGACATGCCCAAGGCATCCTGAATGAGAGAAGTGGAAGGCCAGCGAGGGACAAACGAAACGAACTTACCTGCAATGGGACTGAAGAGTAGATCACTCTATCAAACACATGCTACCCTCAGCCTGCGAGTTCGTATGCGTCCGAGGCGCAGCGGGGTCGGCAAATTTCCAAGGGAGAATCGCCAGTCCGGCACTCGCAAGGACCCTGCCCATCGAGGGGCCTCGAGTCGGTGTTCTGTCGCTTCGAAGCTTCAATGCGATGCTGGCCCAAGCCGAGTCGCCTCGTAGGTCATGCACTTCAGAAGCTGCATGGCCGGCGGCCGGCAGCGCGAGCTTACTGTGAGCCCAGACTGAATCGGAGTTGTCACTACGACTACGATTTCAAAGTTGCAGATGTTGCAGTCTGCGTACAGTAGTGAACTGACCCCTTTCGAACTCCGGCGACCTGAGTGCCAGGCACACCGTGGTGGAGCCCATGCTCTCGGTGTTCTGGAAGGCCTTTCGAGTGTGCAGTTGGCCCAACGTCTAACAAATACTCCACGTGGAGATGTGCGGAGTGAAGCGAATGGCCTCGCGCATCAATGGAATAGGCCCTCTGTAGAGGTCTGAGATCTTCCCGGCCTCAAGGGGGGGCGCAAGGCTGGGGCGACAGTTCAAAGTTCTCGTTGAGGACCCGGCTTGATCCGGCATCAGCAAAGCAGTCGCTTGCTCCTGGTCACGAGGCCGAGAGGCCGGAGCATGAGCGTGACAAGGAATCACAGCGGCCTCACAGGCTGCCAGAAGCTCTCGCGGAAGCTCTGATGCATCTAGTCCAAACTCCTGACGCAAGTTGACGTTTCAAAAGGTAACCACCAGGGCATCCAAGTCCGAAAAGCAATGGCAGTGAAGCCTCGATCTGAGACACGCCGTCTGCACAACCGAGGAGCATTGGAGAAACCTCCGAAACACAAAACGAGAGAGAAGCCAAAGCGCAACGGCTGAGAGACTCTGAGGCCCTTGGCCACCGTGGCATCTGCATCTCGATGTCCAGGTGCAATGGCCTGCCAGGCCCCCCCCAAAACCCCCTTTCCGGCCCCCCCAAACCCCAGCCTTCTGAGGGTGCGTCTTTTGATACGCATTCCTGAAGTGCTGCAACAGCCAGAGAGAGACATGCCCACTTGCATGAACATCGATGGCTTCTGCATAAGTTCACTGTTCCGTTGTTGCTTCACAAGACAGCGAATGAAAGCATGAATTTACTGATTACAGGGGCGCATTGAGCACGAGTCCAACTCTTGATACCATTCTGCCGGGGTCTGCGGCATGACTCTGATTCCATTGACAGCTGCAGCCCAGCATCCCGTTAAACATCAGGGGCTTGTTCTTCTGATACCTTGCCGAGGGCTGGCAGGGCGGACGAAGACGCACACAGGCCCGTTTGCTACTGACTGTGTCATATGTCGCATGCCGTGGCCCCAAGTCGTGGCGTGAGGCCGGGCGGCTGTTCTGCCAAGTGCTGCTCACGCCGAACCAGGGAATCCAGGTTACTTCGCTGCTGGTCCTGCACATTGTGAAGGTGCTGGCACCCAGTGAAGCGACATGACTCGCAAGAGCTTCCACTCCGTATTCACGAGGAAGGTCGGGGATCGACCTCGCCAGAAACCACACCACAAGAACGAGCGGGACATCAAAGATTGAGAGCACAAGAGCACCCCCTCTTAGTTAGAGTATACCTTGCCTATTTTCGGCTAATAATGCCACCGTCAACCCATTAGATGATTATTCCTAGGATCCCCCCTACACTTCA